ATTAGCATTCAAATTCTCTCTCACATGTTATGGCAGCTGAACGCACCATTCCCTCTAACTTGAATGCCTCTACTCCTTCTGACCACCCTGTCTCATCCTCCAAGCCAATTCTACTCATCTTTCACTTGTCACATATTGTCTGTGATCACTCTCCCACCAAATCTAGGTGGGGTATATCTCCTAAATGCTCTCACAGAAGCCTTTATACAACTTACTGTAAGGATTCTTTTCATATACTATATACCAGTTATTTTTAAAGGACAGGAAACATGTAATACTTTCTACTGTAACTCCCAGGCCAAGCAAAAAACAGACACCCACATGCTTGTTGAATGAATGAAATATCTGGTAATCTGATTAGAAAAGAGATTAACAGGTAACATAATTCCTAAGAACCTAAGCAAAGATACATACACATACAGACATACCAGAAGGTGAAGCAGAAAGATCTAGAGAGTTTCCTGCTACTATGTTTTAACCTACTACTAACCATAAGAAGCCCCTCTTTTTTTTTACAAGTATTAAGGCCCAGAGGAAAACGTGACCTTATTGTTGTTGTTGTTGTTGTTGTTATGTGCCGTCAAGTCCCTTGCGACTCATAGCAACCCTATGTACAAGGGTCCTAAATGCTGTTCTATCCTGTGCCAACCATGCTGTCTCAAACACACTCATTCCCACTACTCCAGTCACAGAATCGATCCATCTCATCAAGGGTCTTCCTCTCCTGCGCCATCCCTCCACTCTCCCAAACATGAAGTCCCTCTCCAAGGACCAGTCCCTGCTTGCAACATGCCCAAAGTATGCCAGATGAAGCTTCAGAATCCTTGACTCCAGGGAACATTCCGGCTTCATCTTCTCCAAGACAAACCTGTTTGTTCTCCTAGCAGTCCAAGGTATATTCAACACTCTTCTCCAGCACCAGAGCTCAAAGGCATAAATTCTCCTTCTATCATCCCTATTCACTCTATATCTCTCCGATGCATAGCACGTAACTGCGAAGACTATAGCCTGGATCAGGCACACCTTAGTCTCCAGCCTGATGTTGTTGCTCTTCAGTACTCTTGAGAGGTCCTCACAGATTAGGTTCTGCATTAGCACAATCAAATATTCTGAGATTCCCATTCTTCTCAGAGTCAGCCATAACTTGTTGTGATCCACACAGTCGAAAGCCTCTGCATAGTCAATGAAGCACAGGTAGACACTCTTCTGGTATTCTCTGCTTTCTGCAAAGATCCAGCTAACACTAACTATAATATCCTTAGTACCACGACCTCTTCTAAATCCAGCCTGCACATCTGGCAGTTTTCTGTTGACATATTGCTCCAATCATTTTTTTTATAATTTTCAGCAGAATCTTGGTTCCATGTGATATTAATGATACTGTTCAATAATTTCCGCACTCTGTTGGGTCACCTTTCTTTGGAATGGGAACAAATATTGATCTCTTCCAGTCAGGTGGCCAGCTGGCTGTCCTCCAGATGTCCTGGCACAACTTAGTGAGCACATCCAGGGCAGCATCTGTTTGTTGAAATATGTCAATTGGTATGCCGTCAACTCCTGGAGCCTTGTTTTTTGCCAATTTCTTCAGAGCAACTTGAACTTCCTCCTTCCTCACCACAGGCTCTTGCTCATATGTTATTTCATGAAATTCTTCTCTGTCTGCCAATTCCTTGTGATACAGTGACTCTGTGTACTCCTTCCATTTTCTTTTAATGCTTCCTGGATCATTTAACATTCTACCCAAAATATCCTTAAGTATGGCCACCTGTGGCTTGAATTTGGTTTACAGCTCCTGCAGCTTAAAAAATGCTGAGTGACTTCGGCCCTTTTCATTTTCTGACTCCAGCTCTCTGCACATTTCATTATAGTATCTTGCACTTGTATCTACTATAACAGATTAAACTATGTTGTGTGTCCCACAAAGTATGTGTCAACTTGGGTAGACTATGATTCTCAATATTATGTAGTTATCTTCCATTTTGTGGTCTACTATAATTAGCTTTCTCGTTTCTCCCCAATCTTGTAAAATTATGTGTTGTAAGCTTATTTCTAGGTTAATGAAGCAGGATTAGAGGCCACTATATTAATGATAAAAGATACAATCTACAGGATCTGAAAGCGACTAAACAGAAAAGCAGTAATTAAGAGACTTGACTATCATCAAAGAAACTACAGCAGAGAACACCTTTTGGAACCTGGTCCCAGTGCCAAGAACTACCAAGATTCATGGAGATCTCCAAAGAATGCCAGGTCCAACGATGGTTGAAAAGTGACAAGGGCCTTCCAGAGTCAACATAGAAAAAGCCTTCCCCAGAAATAACATTCTGAATTCAGACTTCTAGCTCCTAAACTATGAAAAATTAATTCGTTTGTTAAAGCCATCTACTTGTGGTATTTGATAACAGCAGCACTAGATAACTAAGACATCTGTAGAATAGGTGATTACCTCCGTTTCACAAATAAGGGGGGGAACCTCAAAAACAAATTACTTTCCCACAATTGCATCACTAGAAAATAGATTAAGAACTGGAGCCAAGTCTTCAAACTCCAAATCCAGTGGTGATCCATGCCAAAGTTTTATTCTGAAACTATTTAGTTGAATAGTCAAAAGTTTGTTGTTCAATTGATAGTTTTCCTTTTTTGCTTTAATTATATTTTTATTTATAAGAAAAGACAATTTACAAAACAGTACACACTCCTTTAAAAATTTTTCTTAAATGTTTTATCTTCTTGTTCACCAGAGTAACCCAATTATTCTATCACTAGTATACAGTAAACTCAAATGTTGGACTTCAAACTGCATAACAAGTCTCTTTATTTAACATCTTCAACATAATTGACTTTTTGAGCTTTTCAATATTTTTTAAAATTATACCTAAATCAGTATTTTAAAAACAAGATAAAGTTTTCCAAAGTAAATTTAATATTTTATTCACAGTTTAATAACTCTTTTATTACCAACCCTTTTGACACAATAGCCTTACTAAGACAATAAACTCTCAAGGAGAGCATAAATTTCCATTTATTGAGTACCAATCACATGCTTGCCACTCTACTGGAAGCTTTAGAAAGGATCTGGTGGCCTAATGGTCAGAAACTGTGCTGCATACTCAAAGGCATACTGTTCAGATCCATGAAAAGGAAGAGCTAGGTAATCTCCTCCTCTGTGATTGTCTCTGAAAAACCACAGAAGGTTCAGCTATGGGTTGGTCCCAACTTGATGGTACAGAACAACCACTAGAAGCTTTAACTAATTTTATTTTCTAAATTGATATTATTATCCCTATTTTATAGAGAAGACACGTGAGCCTCAGAGAGATTAAGTAACTTTCCTAAGGTCACACAGCTAGAAAATAGCAAAACTACTGAGCAAGCTCAAGTTTGACTTCAAAATCAAACTTTCCTTATTCAGACTAGACGGTACATGACAACAATGATGCACAAGTTCAAGTATACCATTCAAATAAATATTTGCCACAAAGCTTTTTGTCATCTTTTTCAGATACAGGAGAGTATCAGTAGTTCTACCCAGAAAGTAACTACTGCAGCCTAGCAAATGGAAATTTTCTCTAAATAGAAAGGAAAGTCCAAGAAAGATTTAAGATCATCTCTACCAGTGCTGACAGTTCCCTATTTCACTGGCATTTAGATGACAGGAAGCTGCTACAGGAAATTATATTCAGTCACTCTTATCACTAGTTATCTAGATTCAAAATACTAAAATATGAAGTAATAAAGTACCTTAGTCACCTTACTATTATTTGTTGGCCTGCAGGAAACCCCTTACCTAAATAGTCCTATAACCTTCCTCTTTCCGTAAAGAATATTAAAGAATTTGTTCTAAATTCCATTCTCCACAATCTTAGAAGAAAATGCTTGCCTATATATTTATCCCGTATTTCTTATACCTTAACTAAAGACCTTCTCTTGTTTTGATTGTTGTTATTCTTTACCAGTGAGTTGAAATTTACTCATAGCTGATCTCCAGCAGTTTCAGAGTCAGTAAATCACACAGGTGGAAATTCTCCATCTTTCTCCTGCAGAGCAGCTGGTGGATTTGAACTGCATTTCTTCGGGTGGCAGTGCAGCTCCTTAGAACCAGGTCAAATTCCAAAAGCAGTGCCTCTTCTTCAGCACAGAGTGTACCCATTCATATCCTATGTAAATGTGATAAAGCTTGGGTTTTGTGCTCTTTTCTGAAATAAATGTTCTGGAGTCATATACATACTTCACAGTACCAACTGGGAAATACAGGAAACTAGACAGGTGTCCCAATGGGTATCAGTAGACAAGTGAGGCAGAAACTGCTAATCAGGAGATCCTTATTTCATAGCATTTTGAAGGAAAAACTGAATGGTGACTTTAACATTTATTTCTTTCAAACTATGTCATTGTTGTTGTTGTTGTTGTGTACCATTGAGTCAGAATCAACCCATAACTCACCTTCCAGTGTGTTTTCAGAAGCATTTAATTACATGGAAGGAGGCGGCTCATCTTTCTCCCATGGAGCAGCTCAGGGATTTGAACCACATGCCTTTGAGATTGCAGCATAGCTTTTTACCACGAGTCACTAGAAGTCCTTAATAATATAACCCACTGCCATCAAGTTAGTTGCAATTCATAGAGATCCTCAATTAAGTTTCTGAAACTCTAAATTTTTATGAGGAGAAACTGCCCATCTTTTTCCCATAGGGCAGCTGATGGACTCCGACTGCCGACCTTTCAGTTAGCAGCCCTATGTGTTATGCGCTGTGCCACCAAGATTTCTTTAAAAATACAGACTATAAAAAATCATTCTCTTGTCATTTTAATAACAAAAAAAGGAAAAATCTTTCCATTTACTTAGAAGTATCTTTTAACATTTACTAATTTTCCAACTAAAGGTACTTGGGTTTTGAGAAAACATACACACACACACACACTCTCTCTCTCTCTCTTTCATACCACAATGGTGTTATCTAGCACAAGAAAAAGTTCTAGTTTTTAGAGTAAATACTCACCGCTCAGGGGACTCTTCATAAATACTGTGACATTCTGTATTCTCAAGCATGAGACTTCTACTGAGGTTTTGTACGCCCGGGTAGTGGAAGTTAGCAAAGGAGTGTGACATTGGTGAAGTTTTGTTCCCAAGGTCTGATATTCTCTTATCATTGGTCAGTCCACACGTGAGCCCGTCTAGAGCGGGATTCAGAGAGCGAGTCATATAGGCATCCGCTGACTGAGGCCTTCTCATGGGGGATGAAGGATAGGGAGAAAGTTTGCTGATAAGAGGAGTCAAAAGATCAGCGTATGCTGCTTTTGTAGGTTTCAGTAGTTTGTCAACATGGATATTAAGCATTTTTTGTTCAAAAGCACAAGAAAACACAGAAGATGGAAGATTCTGGAGCCATGATAATAAACTCAGATCCAAATCATCACAACCATTACCACATAAGAGGTCAATTCCAAGAAGCACTTCACTTTCTGTAATTTCTTCACCAGTTGCTTTACTCTGACAAAACTCTACACAACATTCATAAAGCAGGCCCTTCATTACGAGCTGAAACAGACGATTATTACTTGCTTTGAAGCCAGCCTCACTAAGCTTCCGATCAGCAGGGATAAATTCTGCAACCATGACGCAAGCTTCTTCAAAACAGTGAACTCGCGCAGTGCTGGGGTTCCAGTCTTTAAATTCAGCATGATTGGTCAGGCGAGGCAAGGTCAAAAGCAAACACAGCTTGCTGTAGTCATCTTTTGAAGGACAGTACTCTTCTAGGGCATGTAAACACTGAACAGCTTCCTGCATGGTAAATTCCAACTGTAAGAGACACATAAATGATCACTGAAGAGGAATGCTGTAACATCAAAACAAGAGATTTTGGTAAAATTCAAATACAAAGATACATCATAATTTAAATTTTGTAATCAATTGCCAAAATTCAGTTGCTAGCTAGCTTCACAGAAAAGTAATAATGTACAGAATATGCAACAACTTTCAAGTTAAAAACCAAAATATTTACACTTGTAAAATAAAAGGACTGAATCTTTGGCTAGTTAACACATTAAATTTTCTCTGTAAAAACAGTGGTCTAGTTCATGATGAGGAGTATAATTTTTAAATGTATAGTTTTTTTTAATTTTTAAATGTATAGATTTTTAAGCTAAGACTAATTGAATTTCTATAACAATATCTCAAGCAGAGAAAAATAGATTCCTAAAAAAAAATTAAACACTTATACATCAAAAGACTGTAACAATAAAAGGGAGAGGAGGAACAACCTACAAATTAGAAGAAAATCAAACCTACAAATTGGGAGAAAAACCACAGAGATCCATCTAACATACACAACATATACAAAACTTTTATTCTTTAACAAAAAGATAAACAAAAATCAAAGCAATGTCAAAGGACTGGACCCCACAGTTCATCAGAAAATAGTCAGATAGTCAACAAGCATAAAAACATGCTCCACAGACCTGCCAGTATGCCTAAATTGCTAAAGTTCCATCAGCATAGCAAGTGGGGCAAATTACTGCTTTTTAGAACAAGTTGTCTCGTTCTGTTCTCTTCCACACTGAAATTGTATTTCATGACAGTAATGTTAGAATTTTCAAATGCACTTTATTATTTTTTTGTGTGTACAAAACAATGATCAATATTGTAGGAGTTTTCCATAATTTAGATTGGTTGTTGTTGCTAAGTGCTGTAGAGTTGTAGGAGATTCACAGCGACCCTATCAACAAAAATGTTAAACACAAACCTTTCACCTTTTCTCCAAGTGCATAGAGTTTCCGGATGCAAGCTTTTTTTGGAAGTGGATGCCACTCCTTCTTCCAAAGACTGATTGTAGGGATATTAATTTAAAATTAAAAAGGAAAGCATAGCAGAAAAGTAATATATCTGCTCAAGGCACAGATTTCGAGCCTTTCTTAACAGCTAACGCTCTCCTTCTGGTGCACAAAGCTATCCTCATAGCAAGGTGTTCTAGAATACATGTAGTATCTAAAACGGGGGATATGCTCAAATTTTAGTTCAATACTATGTTGTCAAGTAACAGCAGTTTGTGGATGTTTTTAAACATTCCTTTCTATTTTTAATAGAAAACTACAACATCAACAAGAAAAAGACAAATAACCCAGTTAAAAAGTGGACAGAGGATAGGAATAGACACTTCATCAAAGACAACATTGAGATGGCCAACAAACACATGAAGAAGTGTTCAAGATCCTTAGCTATTACATAAAGGCAAATTAAAACAACAATAAGGTATCTTCTCTCCCCAGTAACAGAGAAAAATGTTTAATAAGACAGCAAACAACATATACTGACAAAGGTGTAGAGAAATTTAAACTCTTTAGCACACCCGGTGGAAATGCAAAATGATATAATCACTATGGACAGCACAGTTTGATGCTTCCTTAAGAAGTTGGAGCTCAAAACACCATTTGAGCCAGTAATTTCACTACCATATTTTTTGTGTGTGTCTGTATTTCTTGAATATATTATATAAACATATATTTCTCCCTAAACAGTAAGAGCTGTGACATGAACAGATCTATGCACATTCATGTTCACTGCAGCATTATTTAAAATAGTAAAAAGATGTAAATAAGTGGCCATCAATGAATGAATGGATAAAGAAATATGGTACAATGACATAATGGAGTAAAAATCACAAAACACTGCAGAACACAGATGTATCTAGAGGACATTAAGTTATGTGAAATAAGTTAATCACAAAAGAACAAATATTGTATAAGATCACCAACACAAAAAGGAAAGGTTTCCACACACAATTCTTTTTTAGGTGACTAACAGGGAGAGAGGAGTAAAAATTAGTAAATATTGGCATATACTAATATGAGTGAAGGGAAAGGCAATATCTAATAAGAGGATGATCAGCACACTACCACTAAAGGAAAAGAAGATACAGAAAAGTACAGAAGGATTTCTAAAAATCAGAATTACAGGGTACAAGTAAGAATAGTATGGGTAAAGAAATTACTGTTACAAACTTTGCATAAATGGTTGGATGAAAAATTAATTTTTTTGTGAGCTTCACTCAAATCACAATAAATATCAGAGAAAACAAAAAACCTTTTTAATGACTGCATTATTATTTTCATTTACTCTTTACAATGAATTACTTTCAAAAAGGATATTCTAAACTTTTTTCTCCCCAAGCAATATACTTTAGGAAGAGATGATCAAATTTCCAGTTGTCTGGGTCAATACTAGAATGAAATAAATGAAGTGAGGATAAATAAAAACATTGCTGTAGACAGACACTCATCTGTAACTTTGCTGTACAGTAATGTTTTGCATGTTTCTATGATGACAGAAGCCATGCACTGATATTTCAAATACCAGCAAAGTCACCAGAGTGGACATATTTCAGCAGAACTCAGGACTAAGCCTCGAAAGAAGGAAATGATAATACTCTTAAAAACTGATAAGTGACTCAAGTCTCATTTTTTCACGGTATATTCCAAGTAGTGGAATAGTTGGGTCATATGAAATTTCTAAGTTCAGCTCTTTGAGGAAGTGCAAAACTGCTTTCCGGAATGGTTGTACCATTTTACAATCCCACCAACAACGTTTAAGAGTTTCTTTCTCGCCACATCCTCTCCAACATTTATTACCTGCTGCCCTGTTAAACTTTGCCACTGTTACTGGAGTAAGATGGCACCTCACTGTAGTTTTGATTTGCATTTCTCTTATTGCCAGTGATTTTGAGCATTTCTTCATGTGTCTGTATGTCATTCAAATATCTACCCTGTGAAAATTCTTTTCCATGTCTTTTGCCCATTTTGTAATTAGGTTATCAGTCTTTTTCTTGTGGAGGCCCAGGACAGAGATTTGTACACCAGTGTTCATAGCAGCATTATTCACCGTCACAAGAACATGAAAACAGCCCAAATGTCCAACCACAAACAAATGGACTGAGAAATTATGGTACATTCACACAATGGAATACTATGCAGCATGTAGGAATAATGATGTTGTAAATTATTACCTATCTTGGGAGGGACTACAGAGCATTATGCTGAGTGAACTAACTCAGTCCCACAAAGTTAAGTATTGTATAAAACCATTATTGTAGAATGAGTATAAGGATGATGGAGAAGTGTGAGAGGGTGGAAGCAGAAGGATGAGGATGTGCAGAGGGGAGAGAGTGGATTAATCTTGGGGTTGTACAATTTGATGGGGGCAGTGAGGGAAATTGAAAAAATCTGATTTTAAAAAAGGCTGCTCGGAATGACAAAGCAAAATACTACAATGAAATATGCGAGGAGCTAGAGTCAGAAAATCAAAAGGGCCGAACTCGCTCAGCATTTCTTAAGCTCAAGGAACTGAAGAACAGAT